CTCAGTTTTTGTCATAGAGAGCTTATTTAGCAAGAAACATCTAGGTACAGAATCGAAAGCAGAAGTGACGTGAAGAAACGTGCAGCGGACGTATTTGGCACCTTAATCTAATGATGAGACGATGTTGTTGTGTAAGACAGCTGCAGCATCTAAAGTGCTCCTACCCTGTCTATAGGCAGATTGTTTGGGGTCTTCAAAGCTTTTAAGGGAGGGTTCAAGTTTAAGAAGTATTAGTTTTTCCATAAGCTTTAGAAACGGGGAAGTGATGGCAATGGGTCTGAACTTTACGTTCTTGCTATTTCCAGGTTTAGGGACTGGGACTATTTTAATGTCTTTCCATGCATCAGGTACGACATTTTTGGAGAAAGAAGCATTTAGGATGTTAGTTAGTGGAGAACATAAAGCACCTGCACATTGTTTTAGAACATATGCAGGTATACCATCAGGACCAAGGCTAAGTGAGGGCTTGAGCGTTTTAAGACGTTTTAGAACATCGAGAGCATTAAAGTCATGAAAGTTTTCAGCTACATGACAGGTAAAATTAGAAGCAGTTATAGTAGAAGGACAGCGTATAAAAGACTGATTAAGAGCATTAACATCATAAGAGGGAAAAGCATTCCATCGCTTACTATTGCCAGTAATTTCATTAAAAAGTTTCCATATGCTGATAGGAGATTTGCATGAAAAAAGTATATCATTATAGATAGCATTAAGATTTTTGATTTCAAATTTGATTTGAGCACTAATCTTTTTGAGTCCTAACTTATCTTTGGATTTATATAATGTTGTTTTTGCCATAAGGAATCTAAATCATCAGTAGTAATTCCATACAAGGAAGGAACGTCGGAAGCCTTACGCAGAATTCTTAACAAGGCAGGAATAAAAATGGCATTCAAACCCACAAACTCAATTAGAAACAAGCTTTGTCGGTTAAAGGATCCTGTAGAGCCTTTAAAACAAAACAATTTAGTTTATCTCATACCCTGCAATGATTGTCAGGTCAAATACATAAGTCAAACTAGTAGAACAGGGGCAGTCAGACTAGCTGAACATAAACAGTTAGCAAAATCTAGATTGGTTGACCCGAATAAGATAAGAAATCTAGAGAATAGTTCAGCTATAGCACTCACTGCATGCAGTTACACACAACCATACAATAGGATGGATGGGATAGGATGACAGTTTTAAAATCTAATGTCACAGGGTATAGGGAGGGAGAGATTGATAACAGAAGCTTTGTTTATCGAATCAACTACAAATACATGTAATAGGAATGATTCATCACCTGTCCCCGATATCTGGAAAATTCTACTACCCAAACGACAAATAGGAGAGAGCAAAGAAAACTACAAGACTCAAGTGTCAAAGTCGTGTGATTACAATTGATATGATTATGAACAATAAATTTTGTTCGAAACCTCGTCATCCAGTAAATAATACTGTTTCACTGTGTGATATATCAAATAAACAAACTAATATGGAATGTTAACCTATTGAAGGAGAAATTAGGATTAGTTTCGGGATACTTTCATGTTAGGGTAAGGTTAAGAAGAGATTAGAGTTTTTGTTAAGATTAGAAGACTATATAATTCCATGCACAGGATTTGGTTAAATTAATCTGTTGACACTCTGATCAAAAAGTAAGGGAGGTATTTTTGACACACATCAGAGAAAGGTTTCCTGGGCTCTTCCCTTGGTCCACTTTTGGCAGAATGCTTCTTGACCAGCCTGGAAAACGGGATCTTAAAATCAAAAAAGGACAAATTACAGAAGAATTTGCATCGATGACTGCTTAGAGGAAGAGTGTCTATTTCTGAAAAACATCCTGGCTGAAAATGGATATTTAGCGCGTTTCGTGGAGAAGAATATGAAAACAAAGCCAAAAAGGGAAGAATGCACTTCAGTGCCAAAGAAGGCATTTCATTTGAATCTGCATTTTGGAGTGACCAAGTAGCATATATCCTTAAAGAGAAAACCTCCAGTACACTAAAGCAGACTTTTCCTGCAGCAACTTTAAGAGTGATATTCTTTAGCCGCCCACTACTTCGGAGTAATGCGAAGGACAGGAATCCACATATGACCACTTTAATGTGCATATGTCGTTCTATGCAGGGCCTATCAAAACATGTTAGAGAACATTGCCCAGCATGGTTGTGAAGAAGAGGTACTAGTTCAACCGAGAGAGCCATAATAGAACATCTTCTGAACATCTGTCAAAGCGTCTCAACTGGATCACCATTCAGAGTCATTTACAAAGTAAACAAAAGTCTACCAAAGGCAGTGCCTTTTCGGCTACTTAGTAATGCTTTTGATGTGGTCATGTCCTCTGAGCTGGATAGTTAATTTGAGAAGCTTTCATCACCCTACTGGGTGACATCTTCAGCGCATACTTCAATTTGAAGTAATACAGAAGCCCATACCATATGCCTCGGAAAACCGGAGATGTACGTTCAAAAAAAACTGGTTTAACGCTTACATTCACCATGGACCTAGCTTCATTGGTCTCCTTTAGTCCAGTTTTTTCATCCCCTTCACTTTCCCTTTTTCAGTTTTAAAATTATTCTTCATTCAACTTATTCCCATGCTCACCCCATTCACACCTTTAGTAGTTAAAAAAAAACTAATTTCTGACACAGTATAATTTCATTTCCTAATCCCTTATAATCTATATTCTCCCATTCAAACTTTCATATCAAGTTGAAATCTATTATGATACTCAATAAACTGTAAAAAGAGATATGAGGTAAAAAGAATAGCAATATCGAAGAACCATATAGTTTCATTGGGTATTACAAGTCACAAGGAGTGGGTGGATCTGCGTCAGCCATTGAAAACGAGGATTTTGAGCCATTTCACCGATTCTCTCCAACCATTGGCTTTTACAGTCCCCAGGACACCAACCAGTCAGTCAGCCAGTCTACACCTTCCTACGTGGCTGACTAGCTGGCTGGCTTAAACTAACTCTTGTGCATTTCACTAACCAATGAAGACATGTTTCAGTTTGGCCACCACTAAGTAGCCCTTTTCCAACAACCCCACCCAAATTATATCACACAGACAACACCCCCATCGTTCAGAAAGGCGACGGCTACGCATCCACGCATTACACGTGTCCTAACAATCTCAGTCGATGTAACTTCACAGCCTCGTCTATTGATTTACCCTCCCTACTTAACTAGCACTCGACCCACGGCTAAACTCAACATTGCTCACCCTATTACACCGACCATTTAACACGGGAGATAGAACGCAGGCACCTATGCTCAAACATAACTAGCTAACCTCTTCATATCTTCCACTCAATGCCTAGGTCTCGCCCACCGCCAGCCACAAATGAGCACGGAGCAAAGTGACGCTGAGCAGTACATACGCCCTCTAGTTGACATCCATCCGGATATCACGTCTACTAATACAGAGATGGCGTAAACTGGTAGATGCGAAACTAGCCTTCTTTATCTGTACTGAGATTTCGTCAAAGATCAACCCGTTGGCAATTGCTGATGCGATTTCCCAAATAAGTGAAGCGGTCAACACGCTCTACCACTTCACTCCCTATTTCTAAGCTAGGAGTCAATGTAATGCAGTCCAGTCCTGTAACATCATCTTACATTTGGCAGGAGCGAATCGCATGCCACACATTCGTAGATGGCAGCTTCAGAAGACTCTGCATTTTGTTAGCGTCTTCACCTACAAGGACTATATCATCCGCACGCATATTCTAAGTCTACAAGATTATTCCCTCGTAAAAAAGTCAATCCCTGAGTCTCTGAAGTGAGTAAGGGTTAAGTCCATTAGTACATCTATGATGAGATTGAATAGAAATGGGCATAGTGGGCATCCCCGAAGGACACCGCTAGTTGTCACCACCTCATATGACAACTCTCCCTCCGTAGGCTCTTACTTGGCTGACTGCATGAATTCGAGTAGAGTGAGTGTTTTGATCAGTTCAATGTATTTTCTCGGCATTCCCTTCACAGTCAAACATCGCCATAGTACTAATCCGTCAACAGAATCGAATACCGATTTCAGGTCAAGAAATATGATGATTGTTGGACGCCAGCAAGTATGCCCATGTTCCAGAATCTGTCGAAGGGTGAAGATATGATCAATACACCCTCTTCCTGGTCTAAAGCCTGCCTAGTTCTCTCGTGTTTGTGCCTCCCGTGGACCACTTAGTCTACGTACTATTACTTAGCCTACAACTTTAGATACCATATTAGTCAAGCTAATCCCTCTGTGATTATCACAAGAAGACTTGTCTCCCTTCTTGTATATCGGGATGATCAGTGACTTACACCAAACCGACGGGACTTCCTCTGATTCCCAGACGCTGCCTAGAACCTCAGTTAACGCAGACAGTAAACTGTCTCCACCGTACCTAAAAACCTCTGGAGTCAATCCATCAGGTCCCGCTGCTTTCCCTTGTTTCAGACTGGTGACAGCCTTAGTAACCTCAGTTAGGGACTGTGGACCTGTTTCTATACCCCAATCAGGCAGGTATTGGATGCTAGGTAAGTTGAGTGTGACTGTAGGCCAATTAAGTTGCTTCTCAAAGTGTTCTTCCCCACGTACCAGTCGTCTATCCTGGGAACTAAGTACGGTGCAATTTTTTTCAGAGATTGTTTCACTTATCGTTTGCCTTTTTTCCCCACCTGTTCTCGTGATAAGTCTCAATAGTTGTCTGGTGTTACCATTCACCGATGCCTTTTCCACCTCTCTTTCGCCTTTTTTGTCACCCACTACTGTTCACTGTCATTACAAAGACTTCTTGTTAGTTTGTATTTGAATAGCTTTCACTCCTCATCATAATCGGAGCTCGCCAGAATCAGTGATTTTGCGTCGATCAGTTCGGATGAGGCGGTAGATATCCAATGTCTCTTAAATGATGCTATAGTACAACTGCTTTTCAGTATGAAATCACCGAAAAGATCAACATGTATTTTTGCTGTTGAACTTTTTGTTGAATAAACGGACAAATGAGTAAAAAAAAATAAAACAACTAATATTATTATTATTATCATTATTCACACAATTCTTTTTTTGTACAAATTTCATTTTGTTTTCTCTCTGTAAGGAATATTATTTATACATCTTATCCTACTGAACTTTCATTTTTAAATGACTTGAAGAAGCCGGTGAATGCGGTGCATCATTGAAAAATGGTGTATCAACAGGACGACGTTTTAAATGTGACTTTTTCTCATCCCCCCTTTTTTTATCCCGCCTATCTCTTGAATCTGAAGAGTTTGTTGTTGTCTTCCTCACTGGTGATACTACTACTTTAGACTGTTTTTCAGATGATCTGTGTTTATGAGATTTACGACGCTGATGATGATGATCGTGATCATGATCACCATGATCATGATGTGATTTCTTTTTCGACGATGAATGTTTATCTTTAGACTGTTGGCTGTTCTTCTTCTGTTTTCTATGCTTGGCATTATTATGGTGACGGTGGTGGTGGTGGTGGTCTGAATCGTTGGATTGTGATTCACTGTCCGAGGATGAATCCGAAGATGATGATGATGATGATGAGTCACTAGAAGAAGAAGAAGAAGAAGCAGAAGAAGCAGATGACGATGACGACGAAATAGATATCTCGCCTAATATAGACGAAGGAATTCTACTATTGACTTCATCAGAATCTTTCTTGGCTAAAGCTGTATCTCTGGAAGCTTGTAAATGTTCACGAAGATCTAAAGTTAAACCGCCTAAACCGATAGTTGTTAAAAAGTTGATTGCAAATCGTGTATCTTTAGGATTATCACGTGGTAATAGACCAGTGAAAAATGGTTGTAATGTTTCATCTCGAAGTCTTGTTTGTAATTTTGATAAACCCATAAATGAACATAATTCAAGGAATAGATGTTTTAAAAATATACGTCCAGATGATGTAGTATCTCGTTCATTTAATCGTACACATTCAAATACTCCCCAGGATATAGAATCTGAGTATAAAAGATGTGCAAATAAAAATGCTACATTACGTAATTTCGCTGTCTCCAGTCGATGAATTATTGCATATTGTTCAGCAAATATTTTTTCAAATTGAGCAACATAACTACGAGGTGGACCGGTTTCTTCTACTACAACAGGCGTTGAAGTTTCTTCTTTAGAAGTAGATTTAACAACTTCATTTTTACTTCTATATCGACTACCAGGACCTAGATCAGAGTTGACAGAAACACTAGTACTACCACCTGTATTACTAGATGGTGTACTAGACGGGAAAACCACTCGACAAAGTCTTTGAGCTAATCGACCATATCTACTTTCATAACTACGTGTTTGTGCACAACAATCTAAAACCATAGATGCTACTTCATATTCTTCACCCGGCTTAATTTTCAATTGTAACAAACGATGTCCAGCTTCATCTGCACTCAAGCTACTCTGCAGCATAAGATAGATAGTACGACGAAGATGAACTAGATTTGTTTCAGTTTGATCAATTATAGTTTGTTGATTTTCTGCTGTTGCAGCAGCACCACGAAGACGTTCCTCATTATTCTCTTCATCTTCATCATCATCATCATTGCCATCTGATCCATCAGAATCATTATCTTCATTGGATTCTCCCTCGGAGTCTTCATTCGATTCAAACAGTGCTGCTTTGATTTCTGCATATTTTGCTTCATTGGCTAAAAAATCTGGATCAAATTTAAAAACATTTAAATATTCCTCTGGATCAACTTGGTCAAGTAGTGAAGTTGTATGCGTGATTTGATCACTTTCTTGAATTAAATCAAGTTCTGGTAGAACAATCGGATGATCTTTCCATCCATCTCGACGGATCTGTAGGAGAGAAAAAAATAAAGAACTTAAATATATTCACCTTATATGGATTAAAGTTCAAATGAATAACTGAATAACTGGTTTCAATATAGAACTTTGCACCGATGTGCAACAGTTCCAGTCGCCACACTTCACTCAGCACACAAAGCCAGAGAAGAAAAAAGTAAAAGAGAAAGCAAAAAAAGACAGTAAACAGAGATATGAGGTGAGAAGAATAGCAATATCGAAGAACCATATAGTTTCATTGGGTATTACAAGTCACAAGGAGTGGGTGGATCTGCGTCAACCATTGAAAACGAGGATTTTGAGCCATTTCACCGATTCTCTCCAACCATTGACTTTTACAGTCCCCAGGATATCAACCAGTCAGTCAGCCAGTCTACACCTTCCTACGTGGCTGACTGGCTGGCTGGCTTAAACTAACTCGTGTGCATTTCACTAACCAATGAAGCCATGTTTCGCTTTGACCACACTAAGTAGCTCTTTTCCAACCACCTGACCCATCTTATGTCAGACAGACAACACCCCCATCGTTCAGAAAGGCGACGGCTACGCATCCATGCACTACACATGTCCTAACCATCTCAGTCGATGTAACTTCACAGCCTCGTCTATTGATTTACCCTCCCTACTTACCTAGCACTCGACCCACGCCTAACCTCAACATCGCTCACCCTATTACACCGACCATTTAACACGGGAGATAGAACGCAGGTACCTATGCTCAAACACAACTAGCTAACCTCTTCATATCTTCCACTCTCAATGCCTAGGTCTCGCCCACAGCCAGCCATAAATCAGCACGGAGCAAAGTGACGCTGAGCAGTACACACGCCCTTTGGTCGACATCCATCCAGATATCACGTCTACTAAGTCAGGGAAAGCGCAAACCGGTTCAAGCGAAACTAGCCCTCTTTACCGGTGCTGAGATTCCGTCAGAGATCAACCCGTTGGCAATTGCTGATGCGATTTCCCAAACAAGTGAAGCGGTCAACACGCTCTACCACTTCACTCCCTATTTCTAAGCTAGGAGTCAATGTAATGCAGTCCAGTCCTTTAACAGCACCTTACATTTGACCGCTGTGGAGAAATCGCATGCCGAAAATTTGAAAATTTCTTCTCACCAAGGTGTTTAGAAGACTGCATTTTGTCAGCGTCTTCACCTAGGAGGGAGGACTATATCATCCGCACGCATATAATAAGTCCACGAGATTAATCCCTGGTAACAAGTCGGTCCATGAGTCGTTGAAGTCACTTAGGGTTTAAGTCCATGAGTAAATCTCTGATGACATTGAATAGGAATGAGGACAGTTAAATTACCAAGCTGTAGTCCATTTGATTGGTTAGATATATAAGCTGGACATAGGTTAAACTGTCGAAATTCAAAGACAATTTGTTGAAAGGATTATTACGCTGAATAATTTTTGATAATGCCTGGTAAAGAAACATTCACATTCAAATTGGATAAGGATTTGTGGATAGAAACCATAATGTTGCAGAGTATTTTGTGATTTTATGCCTCATGCTACTGATATAAAATTTATCAGTAGTATGCAATGAAACGTTCATCGGCATAAAAATATGAAATATCAGAGAGACAGATTTAACATCAAAGAGAGCATACGATTTAAAGTTGCATCAAAAAATTGGAGACGTGAAGAGAAGATCAATAAGTACAATAAGAATGACAGAAGTACAATACAGTACAGAAGGGGGCGTGTATACTGCTCAGCAGTTCGCTCCGTCCTTCACTATGGCGGTGAGACGTGGCCATTGAGAGCGGAAAACATGAAGAGATTGTTTGTTTTTGACTACAGATGTTTACGATCCCTTTCTCACGTTAGGTGGTGGTATAATAAGGTGGTAAGTAATGTTGACGTTAGGCGTAGAATGTTGGACAAAGAAGGAAAATCAATCGACGAGGCTATAAAGTTACATAGATTGAGATGGCTAGGTCACGTAATGCGCACGCCTAACCATCCCCTCCCCCACCCCGACGGGCATTACTAGCTGATATAGGTGCAGGTTGGTTGGAAAAGAGTAAGTGGTGGCCAAACAAAAACATGGCCTCATCAATCCATGAAATCCTTGACAGTTTAACTGAGTCAGGTAGGGAGATGCAGACTTCCGGGTTGGGGCCCGCCCTCGAGACTCTAAGAATCAATGGCTGGAGACAATAGGTGACATGGCTCAAAATCGTTGTCAATGGCTTACGCAGATGTATTCAGTCTCTTGTGTAATCTTTCATATTCCTTTATACCATTACTCATTCTGTTTCACTCTTATACTTGTCAAAACTATATTGGTTCCCTTAACTCATTTTCTTGTCTACCTTTGTGTGCTATTTGGAACGTGGCAACTCGAACTGGTGCTCTTCGGTGCCAAGTTCTATTTTGAATCCAGCCAGCCAGCCAATACGCTGGATGAACGATAAAAGGACTCGAAAATATCTGGATTTTGTAGATGATACATGTCTAATAACACAAAAACTAGAAGACTTCCAAGCGAAAACCAACAAAAAACTGCCTGAAGAGACTGGCAGGCAGCGAAAACAGGACTGCAGGTGAACACAGAGAAGATGGAGGTGATGAAAATAACCAATCAACAGCAACAGCAACAGCAAGCAACACCAATCACCACCAACGGGAGGGATTTAACAGAGATTATCTCCTTCACTTATCCGACTAGGAAGCATCGTTTCAATCACAGGCATACGGAACAGACGAAGATGTCAAAGTCAGAATCGGAAAAGCAAGAAACGCCTTCATCAACCTGAAACCAGTTTGGAAATCTTCTGCACTCAGCCTTAGCATAAATAACAAGATTCGAATTTTAAATGCAAATGTGAAGTCAGCCGTTCCTTCTATACGAGTCAGAAAATTGGCCAGCATTTCATGAAAATGAAATCCAACAACTTGTTGCAAACTTTCATCAACCGCTGCCACCTTCTCTGGCTCCATACTGAAGATCGAATGATCGGCCAGAAAGAATCAGCAACAAGAAAATCAGCAGTGGAACAAACCAAACATGAGCCGATCACTTATCAAGTATGTAGGAGATAGTGGATATGGTTCGGGCATACATTGAGGAGACCGTCAAATGACATCGCTCGCCAGGCCAATGCTCAAGTGGAATCTGAGTGGGTCATCAGTGAGAGGGCAGCATGGAGGAGATCATGTGAAGAAGAAAGGAGAGAGTTTGGTCAATCGTGGACGTTGAAGAGGACGGCAGAAAAAATATATACTACTTTACATTCCGCGCCTGTGATTCAATGGATGAATGCAAACGTCAACCATGCATGCACGTGTGGTGGTGGTTCAGCGATTGATTCTCGGCTGATGCACTCTAAAGCCTTGCTAAAGCGGTAGTAAGCACAGTGGTAAAATGAGAAGGTTAAACTTGAGGCTAACAATCCCATCTTGTAGAAATAAACACCACTACTGCTATTGAAATTTGAAAGCTGTACCTTAAAGCCTGCCTTATTGTTTCACTCGGAAAGTAAAGGAATAAGAATTTTTAAAAATCACCTTGAATTGCTCTGAGATTTTCACTTACATTGTATCTTAATTTGAGAAAGTATTTAGTATCGTTTTGGCTTACAAATGAATACAATTTTAGATTTACATGGATATTTGGCTATAATTAATAAGTATAGATGAACTGTTTAGATAATTTGGCTTCTAGCTTTCGTAGGGACCGGAAAGAAAAGTGACTAGTCAACCTTTGGATTATGCTAATCGAACGATTAAGGCTACTTACTAATGAAGCATAAAAATACGAATGTCAAATCGTGATGTGCCTAGGATTATTGACGTCGAAAACACTGCGTCACAACAATTCAACACATTACTCAAATAAAAAAAACAGGTGAGAAAATATGTAAATAGAACAAAGTGGAGAGACTTATAGTCAAGCAGGACATCTGCGTTTGAAAACACTACATACATTCTTCATTCACCTTACTGAGCCAGAGTAACTTTCTTACTGTACATTTGTCCTATTATTTGCTCACTTCTTCACTTAGGCCCACGATTGCCTATAATCTCTCATCTACTCTATGTCATCCCCGGACCAATGCCCAACTAGTCGCCTCCCATTCGTGTTACACTCGAGCGATGGTGTGTATTGAGTGCAATGTCATTCAATCGTTTCCTCAGCATGCATCCACCCGTGCATCCATATCCACTTTCTCCTAAACATATTTCTTGGACAACAGGTTCCTTGTCGGTTTGTTCTCGGAGTTTCTTGTCGCTAATGCTTTCTAGCCGGCCATTTGATCTTCAATATGGAACCAGTGAAGTGGTCAGCTGTTGTTGATAAAAGAAGTCTGCAACCTGTTCAAAGTGATTTCCATGACACACTGGCCAAGTTTCTCACCCGTATAAAAGAACTAGCATTGCGTTGGTATTGGGAATCCGTATCTAGTTTTTCATGCTGAGGTCGAGTGCAGAAGACTATCAAACTGATTTTCGAGTATTCGTCTGTCAGTTAGTTATTTTCTCACACTTTTAATACGCACATCATCCCAACTTCTATCCTTTTCTTTCTATTGTTTCTAATTTCCAATTAATCATCCCCTTACACCTTATATTTTGTATAGGCATTTTCGAGGATATATTTCACCAGTATCTGATTGGCCTTATGAATTCTTCGGTCAATATATTATAGGTATCAGTGCGATTGTACAACAGCTTATGAAAATGAATCGTCGAAAACAAAAATTTCTTCGCTATTTACATATTTTTTCCTTAATAAACAAAGTAGAATATTAAAAGAGATCATACACAACGATTAAGATTCATTCATGGGATAATTAATTATTAGTTCAGACGAAACATCATACCAGCATAATAAACAGAGATGTAATTAAGTGAAAAGAAATAAACAAGCGCATAAAGGCAAAGTGACTGTTAATTAGAGAAAAACACTTATATTACTCATCAGAGTAATAAGTAGTATGAAGTTGAACACAAAAAGAAAACGAAGATTACAGCGTCAGGGAATTACATCGGTGTGTATCGACGTTGGCTAAACTAACAATAAGATGTGGATTTCCCTATTTTGAATGTGCTCATATCAATCTCTAGGATGACCACTGCTATACACCTCATTCTATTCCTTTTAGTTCCCAGTGGACTTCAAGTTAGGGCTTTGAAGTTTGAGTTAAAGTGGTGTTTTTTTTAAGGGATGGGTTTGCTAGCCTCATACACAACCTTCCCTCTTTACCCGGTTTACTATCGGCAAGGCGAGATAGAGGAGTACGTTGGCCAGGGCCTATTAACTGAACCATCGACGCACAATATGTACAGACTTGCTAGGACGCGGGATCGAATCGGGGGACATTTAGATCTTTAGTTTAACAATCTCCCTGCAGAGCTATTCCGGCGGTCTGTCATACATAGCTAACACCGAAATTCAATGACTTAATAAACTTGTACACTTATTCCAATCTGGTTCTACTTCCATTATAACCCACTCGTGACATTAGACATACATCATCCATACGAGAAATCCAGATCTTCTAGAGTCTTCTTATCTGTTTCCCAGCGTACTCCTTACTCATCGCCCTCAACAGTCTGATGCGCACAAATAAGAATATCATCGTAGGTGATAATAGGCAGCCAGCCTTCTCTTACTCTTCTATTCACTTCGAACGCCTCGCTGAGTTGTCCGTTGTGGATCACTTGACACGTGGCATTGTCATTTAGCTGCTGAATTAGGTTGACAAAGATTTGAGGTACGCCGTAGTGTTGAAGTAGTTTCCAAATTACTTCTCGGTCTACGTGTCGATAAAGTTGAGGTACAGGTTTGGCTGTCATTCAATGCTGTGTTCGATGACGATGCATACAATTGCAATTTGACTACCATATGGTTTGCCTTTCCTGAACCCAGCTTGTTCTAGCAGGTGGAGTTCTGTATCCAGTGCATCCTTTATTCTCTCCAGAATGATGCCATTTAGTATTTTGCTTGCCATGGACAAGATTGACATGATTCCACGCCAGTCCTTTCACAGGCCTTAGTCGCCTTTCTTTAGCAGTTCGGCGAGGTAGCTCCTCTTCCAATCAGTAGGCGACCTTCCTTCTCTCCACACTTATTGCAGTAATTGAGTGACAACATATGCCGTAATCTCTGGGGCCACCTTCAGTGCTTCGGGAGGAATTCCGTCTGGTCCTGCAGCCTTCCCGGACTTCAGTAGCTTGATTGCATTGAGGATTTCTGATTCCATTGGAGGATTGGTGTCCACCGGCAGACAGTTCTCTGCGTGCTGTAGGTAGCGGTGGATTTCTGGGACAGTTGCCGGTGGTGGTCGATTCAAGAGTCCTTTGAAGTGATCAGCCCGTTGTTTGACTTGTTTCTCCTCCTTCGCAATCTGGTTTCCTTGAGCATCTTTTATTGGTTTCATCATCAGACTTGATCTCTCCACGGATAGAGATTTTGTTAGATGATATAGTGTCCTGATGTCTCTCTTGCCTGCGGTCTGACCGTTCTGCTTCAGTTGCCGGTCAGTGTGTCGTAGAATTGTCGTTTGACCTTCCTAGCACTCTTTTTCACTTCTCTCTTTATTCAGTGCAGTGTACATTAAACTCAGCTTTTCCTTCTGTTGTCCATCTTTGTATTGAGTCATCTTCTCTTTCACCATCCTCCTTTCTTCAATTAGCTTCCAGGTACCTGTTGAAAGCCATTCCTTGCCGTGTATCTTTCTTGTTCCTAAAAAAGTTGTACACAGTTCCTTAAATATCGCTTTCAGAGAGTTCCAATGTTCTTCTACATAGGTTTCCTCAGTGACGCCACGTAACGTGTCCGACTTTGCTCTGATATATGCAGAGAAGGCATCCCTTGTAGTTTTGTCCTTCATTTTCTGAATGTTGAACTTGAATTGTGGTCTGTCTCCATTTGTTCTCATGGATTTCAGCTTCACTTTGAAGCTTCCTTGAGCTGGATGATGGTCTGAGTCCACATCTGCTCCTCTTCTCGACTTTGTATCCATCAGGCTGCGTCTCCACTTCCTTGAGCAGTGTTGATGTGAAGTATATCTAGTTCGTAATGTGTCTGTCAGGCGAAATGCATGTCGCTTTGTGAATATCCTTGTGTTTGTACACGCTTCCTCCAATCACAAAATCTTTGAAACAGCAGAAGTCTGCTAATAATTCTCCGTTCTCATTCATTTCGCAAAGCGACAGCCTCTCTACCCATGATGATTTCTCTTCCTCTATTATCTGTATCTGACCCCAGTTCGCTTGGCATTCATATCGCCCATGAGGATTTTGATGTCACCACTTGATAAGTTGTTAATTACTGTTTGTTGTTGTCTGTAAAAATCCTCCTTCTTTCCTTGTTCCGCGTTGTTTGTAGCACTGTGAGTAACATTGCATAATTGTGACCTTCCTTCCTTTGGAGTTGAATCTTGCTGTTATGATACTGGATGGAATTGGTTCCCACTGCATTAGGGCTTTGGCTGCCACCGGTGACATCATGACAGCCACCCACTGCCTCAGTGTGTTCGTGGTTATCGTCTGGGTGATCGGAGTAGAGCCAGTCGGATATCACGTCTACTATGTCAGAAATGGCGTAAGCTGGCATATGTCAAGCGAACCAGTAAATCAGGGTGAGATTATTACTAAGCCGTAGTTTAAAAAAAATACAATTTATAAGGACATATGATAAATGTCAAAATAATGGAATAGACACTATCTGCTATCTATGCAAGTATATTGATTCAAACAGCATGAACATTGGCTTACCAAATGAATATATCTTAAACAACTATTATTGAGATGCACACTGAATGTGCAATTTAGATTTAATGATATCATCTACAATCAAAGGGATGGAGTGGCAATGGGGTCTCCTTTAGGATCGCTGTTAGCGGACGTCTTCATGGCAATCTTAGAGAACGGCCTACTAAAGGAAACCATCGAGAGTTTGTTTATGTATAAAAGATATATAGATGATACCTTCATTGTCTGTGAGAAAAACTCTTCAACTGCCGAACTTCTTGGAATATTTAATGGTTCTCACCCATTCCATATTAGGTTGTTTATTAGATATATCACACAGTGGAATAGTATTATTTACTGGATGACGTTTCGAACGAAATTTATTGTTCATAATCATATCAATTGTAATCACACGACTTTGACACTTGAGTCTTGTAGTTTTCTTTGCTCTCTCCTATTTGCCGTAGGGGTAGTAGAATTTTCAATGTCGTGTGATTACAATTGATATGATTATGAACAATAAATTTCGTTCGAAACGTCATCCACTAAATAATACTGTTTCACTGACTGTGTGATACATCTAATATACAAACTAATATGGAATTACCTACTACCACAGTGCCCAAGTTTTACACATAGGTTCTCATCCATCTTTGCTTTTCATGGTCAAAGAAGAGTCGAATTCCTCATTTCACTTCCTTGAAGTTAAGCTAGATAGAAGAGAGAATGCAACGCTGTTAAGGTCGATTTACCGAAAGCCAACATTTACAGGGTAGTACACTAACAGTTGGGTACCTTTAGGGAGAAAGAGAAATCTTATTCATTCCTTATGCTGCAGAATTCGTAAAACCTGCTCTGCAGAGACAATCGATAGTGAACTAGATAACCTTCGATAAAATATCCTTAACAATGGTTATCCTACAAGATTTATCGAATGTAACATCAAGAAAGAATCCGTCCCTAGACAAATCACAGTGCCAAAGAAAAAAACTGTTTATTAGTCTTGCATTCAAAGGTGACACCATTTCGGAATTGATTAGAAATCGTTTATCTAAATGTATTCAACGTACTTTTCCTGCAGCTGACTTACAACTAGTTTTTACCAGCCGAAATATGATTAGACAATGCGTCAAGGATAGATTACCGCTTTAGTCCGCATCTATGTGTGTTTACTCTTTTACCTGCTCTTGTGGAGCTGTTTATATTGGACGTCGTAAGCGTACCCTCCGAAAACGTGTAGCTGAACACTATCCAGTCTGGTTAATGAAAGGCGAACGTAGAACTGCGAAGTCGTCTATATGTGATCACCTGTTAGAGTCAGGTCATTTAGCCCCACGTGATTCATCCTTCAAAGTTATCTACATGGCAAAATCGAATCGATCCAAAAGTTAACGTTTTCTTCACTTATGCATAGCCGAAGCTTTAGCTATACATGAACCGAAACCTAAGTTATGTGTTCAAAAACGTTTTGTCAAACCCCTTTCTTTACCTTGGTCATAGTAATGTTCTTTCTAGTTTTTACTTTATTTTATTTTACCACTTGAATTCTTTCCATTTCACTTCACATCTTAATTCTTATCGTAATCGTACTCTTATTTTTTTAAATCCTTAGACAACACTTGACATTTTTAAAACATTTTTGATTTCAATTCACTTATAAAACAGTCTTTAATAATTTTGTAATTTATCCACTTCAACTCTACCCCTTATAACATTTTAATTATCGTTATTCTTATCACATATATGTATATTGACTGAGCAATTATTTAGTGCCACTTAATAACCTTTTTTCTGTAATATAAATACGAGTGTACAGCTTGAAAATGAAGTCGTTGAAAAGAAATTTCTTCGCTGAACAAAAAGACAAACTGTGTTTTTACTTATGAATAAATGAGTATTTTTCGTGATTTAAAATGATGGAAGTCAAGTCTGAAAAAGTAATTTCTCCATTCAATATTACATAATAACAATAATAACATCAACAACATATCACAAAAGTAAAAAAAATACCAAAATAGAAAGAAAAATATTTCCACTTTACCTGAAACATAACTTCTAGCATATAAGAAATACGTTTATCACATTGGCCTTCATTTAGAATACGTCGAAGATGTTCAAAAATTCCATGTACACCTTTAGGTACAAGACGTGAAAGCATAGCACCGCATTCTTTCAATACAGATACAGCGACTTCAACACTGTCATCAGTTGTTTGTTCAAGTAGAAGAGTCAGTAATTCCAGGATAATTAATTCATGAACAACTTTTTGATTAACTAAATGAGCTAAAAATCGTGCAGTTGACAGACAACGATCTTTTTGATTCCGACGAAATGCTTTACGAAATTCATTGATCAATCTTTTGAGAACTAGTTCACCAATCTGTCAGTAATTATAAAATAGAGAAAAATATATATTCATCAAGATGTTAGACATCATGACATGAGTAAAAAGCTCAGAGAACACAACCACACCAATATATATATATATATACATCTGGTTAATTCAGGACATTCAGTGCCATTCAAGAAATCCTTCAAAATAATATACAAGATTCGATCAAACCTATCAAAGGGAGTGAAATTAAGACATCTGGGTATAGCCGAGGCCAGCCAGGTGAGGGCTTACCGAGAGTTGTCATCTGAAGTGGTGATGACTAGTGGCGTCCGTCAAGGATGCCCATTATTCCCATTTCTATTCAATTTCATCGTAGATGTACTAATGGACTTAACCCTAACTCACTTCAGAGACTGAGGGATTGAGTTGCTACCAGGGAATAATCTCGTTGACTTAGAATATGCAGACGATATAGTCCTTCTAGGCGAGGACGCTGACTAAATGCAGAGTATACTGAACACCTTGAGCTGCAATCTACGAATGTTTGGCATGCGATTCGCCCCTGTAAAATGTAAGACGATGTTACGGGATTGGACTACACCGACCCCTAGATTAGAAATAGGAAGTGAAGTGGTAGAGCACGTTGACCGCCTCACTTACTTGGGAAGTACCATCAGCCAGTGCCAACAGGTTGATCTCCGACGAAATCTCAGCACGAATACAGAGGGCTAGTTTCGCATATGCTAGTTTACACCGTCTCCGGCGTAGACGTGATATCCGACTATCGACTAAAGGGCGGGTATACTGCTCATCAGTTCGCTCCGTCCTCCTTTATGGCTGTGAGACCAGGTCATTGAGAGCGGAAGACATGAAAAGGCTGGATAGCTGTCTTCGATCATAGGTGCCTGCGTTCTACCTCCTCTGTGAAGTGGTATAACAGGGTGAGCAATATTGAGGTGGTTAGGCTTTGGTCGAGTGCTAGGTCAGGAGGGAGGGGAAATCAATCGACGAGGCTGTGAAGCGGTTACATCGACTGAGAGGGTTAGGACATGTATTACGTATGCCTAGTCATCGCCTTCTTCGACGGACAATGTTAGCTGATGTAGGGCCAGGCTGGAAAAGAGCTAGCGGCGGTCAGACCAAAACATGGCACCAGTCAATGAAATCTACACCAGTTAGTTTAGGCCAGGTAGGAAGTGTAGACTTCCTGGTTGGGGTCCTCGAGAAGGTAAAAAACAATGGTTGGAAACAATTGGTGACATGGCTCAAAATCGTTCTCAGTGGCTGGCGCAGATGCATCCACTCCTTGTGACTTATGATTTCCGATGAAACTGTTTTGTTCTTCTTTATCACTATTCCTTTGTCTCACACCTCTGTTTACTGTCATTATTATGCATTTCTCCTACTTTCTTCTCTTGCTTTGTGTGCTACATGGAGTGTGGCGACTTGAACTGCCGCACATATATGCAAAGTTCTATGTCGAAAACAGACAGACAGACATAGCCGAGGCACTAGCCATCCAAAAGCTAAAACCCACCCTATGTATCCAAAAGAAATACGTTCAACTCTTGTCCCTGACATGGACATCATAAATAGGTAATTCTTTTAATAGTGATTATCCATTGCCTTTCTTATCCGAACTTCCTGCCTATTTTATCATTTCATTATTTCTACATATTTAATCACTAATCGCATAAACAATTATTCGTCACATTAGTTATGATCCCACTAGATATTTTTCAGAAACATCCTATCTATTTTTGTTTTTTTTGTCTATTTCTACATTTCTAACCCCCAATTGTACAACCATTGTCAATCTTCCCAATAATTATGGTACTACTTTGTTTGAGTTTTATCCGTCTCCCCTGTTTATCATGGCATTTTAATTCCTAATTAAAATTCTATTAATTTGACCCTTGACGGGAAATTATTGTGGAACTTTCCCACCCATTAATTACAAATACACGAATGTAGAGCCCAGTTGATGACTTCATCGAAAAGAAAATTTTCTTCTCTGTAACCGTCTTTTTAATATATATATATATATATATATATATATATATATATATGATGAAGCCATTTTATCGCCCGACCACCACTAACTAGCTCTTTTCCAACAACCTGATTCATCTTATGTCAGTCAGCTAACATTACGCATCATCGAGGAAGGTGATGGCTAGGCATACATGCACTAGACATGTCCTAACCATCTAAATCAATCGACGTAACTTCATAAGGTCGTCGTTTGATTTTCCTTCCTTACCTGACACTTGACCAAAGCCTAACCTCAAGATTGATCACCCTAATACACCTAACACCTAACACGAGAGATAGAACGCAGACACCTATGATCAAAGACAGCTAGCATTTTCATTGAATGAGATCCAAGTTACTGTTACGATAACACTCACTTTACCGTGAAATATTTGAACAATTTTCCTGTCCATTATATGTCGTCTGGGTGAACGTTGTTCAACTTAACACAACTGAGTGAAGACAAAGACAATTCGCCTATAGAAAATAACTAGTCAACCAGTAGAATTTACATTTCTTTGTAGACAGACACACTGATTAGGATAGTGTCCAGATAATTTTACTCTGTGATCAGCGGGATACAGTAGGTCAGGCAGGTGTGAGAACAAATACTCGACGCTGAGGATGATACTGACTAGTTCCAGTCACTCTATATCGAGAATTATTGGCAGAAGTTGGAATTCATGAAATGATCATTGGATCGGGTTGGGGTCTCAATGGCTGAATTGGTCTACGAGTCCGCCGCCTTGTAACCGAAACGTCCTGGGATTCAAACCTCACTGATGGGTGGATACGTACTTCTGGAGCAGATTCCCGCACTAGTGGGACGAAACAGCTGTCCAGTACTCTGGTTCTGGTTTTCCAATGGTTCTCTAACCGATGTCAGATCATAATGAAATCCTGTAACCAATCAAATCCCGGCAAACCAAAACTTGAAAGCTTTATTGTTCCGTAGACAAAAAACAGTACGCTTATTCTAAAAATCAGAACCCACGGCACATTTAATTGAATAATATTCATATCCATGAAAAGGAAGAAAAGTGACGTATGGTGATTTCCCTATGAAAATAAAACCATTCACAAAAAATATTTATTAATTATGTCGGACATATCAGACTACTCACAAGCATTTGTAAGTAGCCACTTCAACACCGAGTAAAATTGTGAAATATAAATCATGAAGCATTCCTCACATTGTCTGTTCACTGTGACAGACAAGCATAATAAAAATAAAGAACTTAGCAAATTACTTTAATATCTCGTAGGCAGCTGCATGAAAAGAGACAAGGCTAACTGACTGGCTGGATAGCTCAAACCAACTGTTATGCATTTCATTGACTAGTGAAGCCATGTTATCGTTTGACCACCACTAACTACCTCTTTTCCAACAACCTGATCCATCTTATGTCAGTCAGCTAACATTACGCATCATCGAGGAAGGCGATGGCTAGGCGTATATGCACTAAACATGTCCTAACCATCTAAATCACTCCACGTAACTTCACAACGACTGATTTCCCCTCCAAACCTAATACGCGACTAAAGCCTAATCTAAATATTACTCACCCTACTACACTTACAACCTAACACAAGGGACAGAATGCAGGCACCTAGGATCAAAGACAACTAGCCGGCCTTTTCATCTTTCCCGCCTTCAATAGCCATGTCTCTTTCACAGCCGGCTATAAACGAGTACGGAGCGAAGTGCTGCTGAGCAAGACACACGTTCTCTGGTCAATAGACAGTCGGATATCATATCAACGCTGCAGATGGCAAATACTAAACAAGCCTTCTGTATCCATCCAGAGATTTCGTCAGCGACCAACCCTCTGGGGCTTGCTGATGCAACTTCCCGAATAAGTGAAGTGGTCAATACCCTCTGCCGCTCCACTCCTACCTTTCTTTAAGCTAGGAGTGAGTAGGGAGGTGTAGACTGGCTGGCTGTTTGAGGTCCCCGGAATAGTAGTAACCAATGGGTGGAGACAATCACTGATATGCCTGAAAATCGTGGTTGTCAATGGCTGACGCAGATGCATTCATTCATTCACTCTTAGTGATTTGTCATATCCATTCAATGAAACTCTGTTGTTCTTCTATATTATCATTCTTTTTCTCCCACGTGCACTTCTGTTGATTATTATTCTCTTCTGTTGGTATGTGTGCTACGTGAGGGTGTGCTAGAGTGGCGAGCTGAACTGCTGTGTACGAAGTTCTATGTTGAAACTAGTCAATCAGTTAGGTTGTCATCACTTCTGAGAGCAACTCTCCGTAGGAGGGTGCCATGATCAATGTTTTCCCATAGCCGATAACGCTTCAAATTGGTCTACTGCTCACTAATGCGAAAAATACAAAAAAAAAACTCAGAATCAAATCCTGCAATTTCGGGAAGTGAAACAGACATTCCTCTTCCTGCGGAATTTTTATCTATATCATGAGAAGCAATACACTGCAGCAGTACGAACATAAAATATTCAAGAAGGTAGCCACTTGATATTGAGTGCTGAACTATTCTCACAACAAATAACATCAGTTTGATAATAAATACAAAATCACATGCTCACTACTTAATTGTATTAGTAAGCTGAACTGTCAGTTAACAATTTACATAAACAGATTTCAATGAGCATGAAATAGCTGCTACCTTGACGTGATGGTCGGGTTTGCACATAGCAATGACCCAACAAGCTACACTGGCTGGAACTATTGTACCTGCACATCCCAACAATACCAGGAAGGTTGTTAGGATAGCAATTAGACTAAAAGCAGTTACCGGCTTAGTGTAAGAATCTTTTGTTTTACACTATGCTGGCGGTCTGTGGGCGAAGTCGTACTGTTGGGGAACAGGGGTGAGGTGTTTCCCTCCGATGACCAGCATACCAGCTATGCTGTCTCTCCAGTCTGTAGAAGTGCGGTTAGAAAAGGTCGACCCCAAAAATTGTACATCCCGACTTATCCTACGGTGGTCCGTAACCGGTGATAAGTTTACTAATACGGAACCAAACCAAGAAACCAGTTCATATACGCTGTGTGTGACCGGCCTCAAACAGTAGTCCTCTGGGCTCTGCAGTCACGCAACACCAACCCTCTTTCTGTCTCAGGTACCCGAATAATCAGCCAACTTCCACGGTGTGGGCAGCCGGGAAGTAACAACCGTCTACACACTCCCAAGAGCATACGAAGCCTCCCCGAGCATCATTCTCCTTTACCCACAGTAGTACACAAATGCAACTCAGAAATCACAAACATTTCTTAGTGAAGTTTACCTACCTACAGAAACAATATGGCTGCCTGAATCTAGTTATCTAGACAATATGGCTTGCATCAAAAGACATATACCTAAAATAATAGTAGTCAGTTACAACACTCGAAACTATAATCAGTTACTGACTAAACAATCAGCATAAAGTAACTAACCGGCTTTAGATGTTAAATGAATAAACTTATAAATCAATAAGCTGAATTACTCACCTTGGGAAACTTCGAGTTTACAACAGCAACAAGAGCGGAGAAAACATGAGTAAAGGTGGGCGATGCAGACTGTGCAGTAAGAAGAGATTTGGCAAATAAACCTCTACCTCTAACAATATTTTCCATTAGAAGCTGTTTAACAACTTCTGATATATTGGACACATTCACTTTATTGATGAAACCATGAATAGACTTTTTAAGTGCTTCCCAAGCAATTCGTTGATATGCCTCAGATGATTTGTCTGTAATCTGGGCCTGCATTTGACGAAGTCGAGCTGGGGGAATATATGCACCACCAGTTCTGCCAAATATGTTGGCAATTTTATCTGGATTTTTCGACGAGTCATCCTTTTTAGAATTTTCATGGTTATTACCATTGTCCTCCTCTTCTGAACTATATCTAGCCCGTTTAGCGCCACGATCCATAGAGAAAACGAATCTTTTTGAAAGAATGTACTAGATTCGCTATTCAGTATGTAATTTGTGCAATTATTTTGTGTCCAGTTGAAGCTTGCTGACCAAAAGTATCTCTAAAAAAAGAAAAGTGGCGACTGAGACTCAAAGACAAGTGAAAAGACAAGCAAAATTATCAACGTGAATACCTCTGCAACATTCAGAGGGAGAGGTGTAGATGTTTTAGATGTATCTTCACAGTATGAAAAAACTTAAACGAAGAAACTGTCTTTTAAAAGCTCTGAGAAAAATAGTGTGGGAAAGAAAATCTGCTTGTGACTAAGGCCCGCAAGCCATTTATGGTGAGGTTGTGCTAGTGAAGCTAAAACAGAAGTTTACGAAAAGACAAATGAAAACTTTCGCATCTTTCAAGAGAACGATGGCTTAAACACCCAAAAACTGCACACACTAAGTTACCTCATGAAGGTCCATAGCCAGTGAATATGTCTCAGTACGAACACAACTCAAAAAACCTGTCTAAAGAGGCTATGTGGCCGGACTTAAGTAGTAGTCTCATAGGCCCTGAGACTCTAATCCTCTTTTGCTTTAAAGTACTTCGAGAAGAAATCTACTTCCACTGTGTGAACAGCCGGGAAGCAATAACCATCTATACACTACCAAAAGCACACAAAACTTTCCTGACCACCACCCAACTTCATCTTTTGGCTCTTTTGCCACTGTTAATACTATCCCAGCTTGATACTGGAGCTTCCAAAATCCGGAACTTGTGCGGAATAAGACAACAGGCATCATAGTGAGAACTCTAGACTGGTTTGTGCAACAGCACTAAGCGTTAGAACGGAAAATTTGCTGTTCGACAAGATTTCAATGGAGTATTTTATTATATAAATGGATAAACCCTACCAAAGCTGTCTAGTTTCCATCTAAAGGTAAGACGGTCAAACATAATCGTCATAGTAAAGGATTCCAAAGAAAAAGTGGCGAAGCTGAGACAGTCCGGAAGCCATCTTGGAGGCACCTATGGAGTTCTAAGAAGACGAACAGACTAAGGTGAACATCTTTTACAATTCTGTTCAGACTACCTGTTTCTGGCCAACACTAATTTGAAGCATGAGAGACACTTTCTTACCCAAGTAACAGGCGTCATAGAGTCAACGGTAGACACATATCATCTAGCTATGTTATCGATGGACAGGGTCGGTAGAAACTCTCCACTTATTCTGGAACAGTTGTGTGCATTCCCATCATGCATTAGTTCGCACAAGCATATACTTATGACCGAACGGACGTGGGGAACAAGATGTAACATAACCGTTAAGCGTCTAACTTTCGTTCAGCGCATATATACTTCGTTAAAGAAAATGACTAAAAAACTGAAAATAACAGCGATTAAATAAACATAACATCATATCAGTCTGCTGACGAAATAGTGCTAAAAGCTGTCCATAACCTGAAACTAAGTCAGTAAAAGCCAGGATAATTATGTAACCTTATTTGACCTAACATGAGAAGAGACTGATACCAATGGGCTGTAAACATGGCTACTGAAACTCAAGCATATCAAAGACTTTTTACAAAAACCTGGATAAATGATGAGTGACAGAAAGTGAAGGAGATGGAAAATGTATCAGCAAAAAGTAATACTCGACAACTGTTCAAGTTCACTAGAAAAATGGATCATAAAACTTCGATAGGTGAACTCATTTCCGAGAACGAGACACCAATTACTTCTCAAAATAGACGACTACAGTATTGGAGAGAACATTTTGAGCAGCGGTTTAACTGCACAATAGCTACACTACAAAATCCACCAACCAACCTGTGGTGTGAACATTTTCATAAACGTTTAGCATTTATATTATACACTAATCGTCGAAGCTATTAGAAAATGGCGTCATTATTTACTTGGTACTCATTTCCAACTCATTACAGACCAACGATCAGTTTCTTTCATGCACGATATGAACCACCATGGGAAAATAAAGAATGACAAGATTCAGCGTTGGCGAATAGAACTTTCTTGTTACAGTTTTGATATAATCTACCGTTGTGGCAAAGAAAACAAAGTCGCCGATGCATTATCTCGCGGATATTCTGCTTCTGTCATGGGTGAAACTAATCTGAAAGACCTACATAACTCTCTGTGCCATCCAGGAGTTGTTCGCCTTCTTCACTTTGTGCGTTCTAAGAACCTACCTTTTTCTGTTGATGATGTGAAGAGGACGATATCTAGTTGTGCAGTTTGTGCTGAGCTGAAACCCAGGTTTTGCAAAGTATCCACATGAAATCTTATTAAAGCGACTTCTCCTTTTGAACGTCTAAATATTGATTTCAAAGGACCTCTTCCTTCAAACTCCCGGAACAAATATCTTCTTACGATAATTGATGAGTACTCTAGATTTCCGTTCGCTTTTCCTTGCCAGGATATGACAGCATCAACTATTATTAATTACCTGTGCCAGTTGTTTTCCCTGTTTGGTATGCCATCCTACATGCATTCAGACAGAGGATCGTCGTTTATGTCTGCAGAATTAAAACATTTTCTCCACGATAAAGGAATAGTTACTAGTAGAACAACAGCATACAACCCCCAATCAAATGGACAGATTGAACATCTCAACGGCACTCTCTGGCGATGTATATCACTAGCTGCTAAATCTAGGTCCATACTAATCTGTGAGTGGGAGGTTGTTCTCCCCGACGCTCTTCATTCTATCCGTTCTCTTTTATGTACTGCCACAAATACTACTCCACACGAACGGATGTTCAGGTACAATCGAAAATCAACGTCTGGTGTTTCTCTTCCCAGTTGGTTAACTATTCCTGGACCGGTCTTGATGCGCCGTAATGTACGTTCTAAGTATGAGTCTCCAGTTGATGAAGTTGAACTGATTGAATGTAATCCCAAGTATGCTCATGTGAGACTTCCAGATGGACGTGAGGAAACAGTATCTATTCATCATCTTGCACCAAAAGAACATATATTTCAATCGCCCGTTAGCATGCCCATTCCAGACGCAGTACCAGAATGCCTCCAAAATCAACTTACTGAAGACGACATATCCACCCGTTCTACAGATACTGAAACTCCTATTTTGATGGACAATTTAAGTGAAAATGTCAAAATTGATCCGAACCCATCTTCTTTACTAGAGAAACAACGAAGGGTTCGTCCATACAATCTGAGAAGCCGCGAAGTCTAAACAATTTTAAAAGTCTTGACTCCTTATGCTCTGTATTCTCAAACAAAAGGGGAGAAGAATGTGGTGTGAACATTTTCATAAACGTTTAGCATTTATATTATACACTATTCACATCTTTCATTTTTGTTTAAACCAGATTCTATACTGGAATTATAAAACGAATAAAGCCTTTATTGCGGGCCCTCAATATTCTCACTTGATCGGTGAATGTTTGATTAACTCATAAACACTACACAACCCATCAGTGAACGTGATTTAAACACTTGTCTTCCTACTGTGGCCATTGTTAGAAAAGCTGTCACTAATCGAAATCGATGAAAAGCGACGGAACCTGATAGTATAGCTCTATGTTTCTAAGGATGATGGTAATGAATAACTGAGTAGGTTAAATAATATCTCACGTCATGTGTGAGGATCTAAGATGGCTCCATTGGACTGGTGCAGATTAAACCAGCTTATACGAGGGGAGACATTTCTTCTAGTGATAAACACAGGAGAATAAGGATGAATAATAAAGTATCTAGAATTTTAGGTTTCATAATGCTATGAGGCGCTCGAGGAAAACAAACGCGTGAAGATCAGTCATACTATAGTCCCGGACCTGGGTGTGCTGATTGTATATTCCGCCTTTGACAGGTTTTGCGACATGTCCATAGTTACTAGGGCCCAACAATTCCCACATCTTCTGACACGAAGGTGATATCTGACTCCGTCGGTCGAGGTACTATAGCAGTATCTGGTGGGGAAGGGTGTGCCAAGAAAGCCCACTACAATAATCAAGATACTGCTCGATGTATGCAGACGTGTGAAAACCTATAGAGAGTTTTTATCCAAATTGACAACAGACTAATGCTGCTAGCGAAATGGTATAGAGCATTAGGTAACAAGAGAGGATCAGTTGATGACAACGTGGTTACATTGATTTGTTTGGTTAGGCCATGAATTAAGCGTGCCAAACCACCATTTACTACAAACAGCTATACAAGCTGCTATATTATTAGGTTAGGAGAGAGTTAGAGAGGTCAGATACAATGTGGTATTAGTCCACAAAGTCTCACTATTGGTCTAAGCCAGACAGGGAGGTAGTGTTTGGCTGAGTTCTTTAAGATAATAAAGATCAACGGCTGTAGACCATTAGTGACTTGGATGAAAACTTTACTCAGCAGTGCTAATGCACTTACAACTTGTGATCTCCCGTACTGATTAAATTCCTATTATTCCTCGAGTAATTATTCCCTTCATCAAATTTCCAATTATGGTTTCTTTTGCGTTTTTTCTCTTTATCAACATCAGTGTTATTATGAAGTGTGGTAACTTGCACTTCTGTACTTTCGTCAGAAGTTCTATGTTTAAGATTCAGTTCAGAGCTCAAGAAGCCATTAAAATGAAGATAGTGTACTACGTCAAGTTATCCAAACCTACTGGAAGAGCAGTACGCTCGTCTAGATAACAAACAGCTTTAAAGGCAGCCTCCGTAATGCAACTTGTCTACAGTGCACGAGGGAGTATAGAGAAAGATCATCCTCACATGTGCCAAAATAACATTTAAGAAATAAGATGCTGACAGATGATGCCATGAGACTTACAGATGTCAAAATAGTACACTTTCAGAAGTCAACGAAGAGATACAACAGACTGGAACTCAACAGGAACACTGGGTTGGAACGGTGAAGTTTATTTAACCCCGGACAGCAAAGTCTGACATCAATCAGAAACGCTCATCTTCAGGTAAAGAAACCAAATAAAATGTATCCCTAGATCAGCAGGAATAGGATATAAAAATAAGATCATAAGCTGGCCACTAAAGCTCGTGAGAAATTATTATGTCGTGCACAGTTTGCAGAGCCGTAAGGTAGCTGAGTGACATGTCTTGGTGAAAGTAATTCTTATATTACGGGAAGTTGTGTGTAAACTCACGGTTATTAAAAATAGCCAATCGGAAACCAGAATAAACTCTACATAAACACATGGAACTATACATCATTCACGTTGAACGGTATTTTGTTGGATTAAAAAGTATAATACTGTAACTGCAAATCACTCAGATGTATCTAAAACGCTTATGACGAGTAAGTTTGCACGCCTGCTCGTAGTTATCTAAGTTATAGGCCTTTTACCTTGTTAGCAATTGCCCGTCACCTGAGGAACAGTAAATAATAACTGTAATAATTGAGTATTCTATCCCCAAGCCATCAAGAAACAATGAGTAACACTATGAGGAGGGACATTTATTTTGATCTGTGGTGGCACAGACTTATTAATTGAACATCGCTTTCTGCTGACATCTGAGTGCGTTTCACAAGTGTAGAAGGTGAAGATGAACAATAGCAGTCACTTAAGTCTTTGACAAAAACCTGCAGCAAGCTCAGTGGATGCTGCTCGTCTTTTAGTCGTTCGAGTTAGGACTCACGGTCGGGAATTGTAGCTAGGATTACTTTGGTTGAAGACAGCTTTACGATAGCATCATGGGTTACGGTAATCGTAGAATTATCCCACTAAGTAGTCTAAACATTTAAGGTGACTATAAACCGTGCGTACCCAAACAAAAGACTTAAGTAAACGAACTTAATGATCTCGATCAACCGATCGTGTAAGCCCGTGGTAAACACGCGTAATTCAGAAAACTTTTATAAACATCAAAGTTAGTGTTAAGAAACAGTTATACGCTGTAGCTTTCTTGTATGAGTCCGAAGAGAACCTCCTGACTCCTTATTAGAGTCTCCAGCTATAGTACAAGCCTATTTCTGAACATAAATATATTCAGATAATTCTATATCACGCTGTTTCTTGACGCATTCAATGCTCTATAACACCCATGAAGGTATGACATATATCTCGGGAAGATTGTCTGTAACAACAGCCTGCAAATCTGTTGAAACATCAGTTGACAGAGGCTACATACTTCTTTTTGGGGCAGACTTAGGGTGCATTGCAGACTTTTTGGGGCAGTCTTCGGGGCGAATACTCAAGAACGGCAATGCGCCCAAAGTTTTTTGCCCCGAAGAAATGCTAGCTGGGAAAGACATTACTCCTCCACGTCTACAAGATTCTTATAAAACTACTATCCCGATAGAACTCAAATACTATCTTTTGATGGAATTCGCGACGCAATTCGTTTATACCAGGGGTTCATCTGACTGGTTAATTGAGGTTATTACGTCCATCTACCTGAGTCTTTCATTTAGGTAGCTACAGATCAGAATTACCACATTTAAATTAACAACCTATCAAACCAGAAGGGCAGGTTTGCTAGTGCCATTTATTGGCTGTAATATTTTGACATAACCACTTGGAATTTATAAAACACCATGGATTACTGACAGACGTTTGTCAATGTCGCCCTATTAGAAAATGCAATGCATTTTAGACTAAATGACACGAATTTAAGATAACATTTAACAGATCAAGAGGGAAACAAGAATCGCTGATCAAATTTGTCCCTCGATATAAACAACATCTGACATTAGTAAAATTTTATGATGAGCGGAATCAGTGAAAATATGTTGGAGAATACTAACTTCCCACTAGTCTGCACTGTACGACTAATTTTGAAAAGGCGCTTCAATTGCTCAATTTTCACTGACTACTTAAGGGAAAGATGCCTTGGATCTAATAATTATATGAACACTTACATCTCGACCAAGCGCTAAAATCTGACCTTTATCCTTATGCCTTCAGGACATAGGGAAAACACATCAAGTGATGGGAAGTTTATTGAGCTAAATCCCTTATAATAATAATAATTTATATTTTCATATAGACATAAATTTACATGAAAATGCATGCCATTTTTACAGGCACGATCAAGTATGATATAATGTCAAATAGTAGATTGTCTACAAGTTAGTAATGTTTGAACAGCTAAATATTTGATATATATATAAATACACTCTTTGTCTGACCCATGTCGTATCATTATTGAACAGCAGTCCTCCAGGTTGCGCGGGAAAATTGACTTCATTTCGTTATAATGATAATAATAATTTGCTTTATTCCAAAACAGTACTTGTGATACAGAATGGAATTCTCAGCAATTTTACTACAGTATTGCATCCAGTTAGTACATTATCAATAAATAGAATTCTACATAGATTGAGGAAATCTCAGTTCATTATTACAACAATACATTGGCATGTCAGTAGCAAAGGTAAAGCTGAAACAGTGTTTGAAGGTGTTAGAAAAGTGGGAGCTGTCTTATTAACTGACGTAAGCGAGAGAAAGAGACAAAGCAGCACATAACGGAAAAACAAGAGAGAGAAAAGGAACAGAAAGAAAGAAAATGTTGTAACTATTGATGATGTGGGTTGGAAAGACGAGATCTAGTTGTACTACTGACTATTTAATGAATAATAGGTGTCACGCCTAATGCTTTCTTTATCGCACAGAACACGAGCTAAGTAGGGTATGGTTGAGTTTTTGTACTTGCTAGTGCGAGCATATAGTTTTCTATATATGCCTCTGGTTTTGCTTGATGAGATGCAAGGGGAGAGTTGTGAGTGAAGAGGGTGGTGTGAGTTAGATAAAATGGATTGGGCCCATTTTTCACATGAGTCCAAGTGCCTGTCAACCAGAATATTAACAAGCTGGTTAAGTGGCACGTTGCTTACCCTGCTGACAACATTTAACATCCTGCGTTAAATGTCATAGTCTTTCTTCAGTAGCCCGGGAAAAAGTAAGGGGGAACAATAGAGAATAATGGGCAGGATGCGAGAATTAACAAATTGTAGGAGTAAGGGTTGGGTTATACCAGAATGTTTTAACTTCTTAATGTAGAAGGTAAGACGGAATATTTTCTTAGAAATCGCTAAGATATGAGACGACCAGGAGAGATCAACAGATATAATGACACCTAGGTATTTAGTTTCCGATTTGCTTTCTATTTCAGTGCCGTCTATGTTGCATACCTCGTGAGAGCCAACCAGTTTGTTTAGGTCGGATTTATGCCTAAAGGTGAAATTGACCGTTTGGCGTATGGAGGAGTTTAGGGTAAGACCATTTTCTTTGGACCACTCGCTGATTTCTGATAGAAAGCCCTTTAGTTTGGAGCAGTCGCTTTGACATTTGATAGGCAAAGATAAAGACAGATCGTCAGCGTATTTGACAAAATTAATGTCATTTGAAGATGGTAAGTCATGTAGAAAGAAGGAAAAGAGAAGTGGGGAGAGTACAGTGCCTTGGGGGACTCCGGCTTCAGTGAGTACAGCAGAGGATGATTCAACTTTGTATACGGTGTACTGCATTCTGTTAGAGAAGTATGAATGCAACCAGTTAATGACCCAGGACTCAGCTTTTGTCATAGAGAGCTTATTTAGCAAGAGACATCTAGGAACAGAGTCGAAAGCAGAAGTGAAATCAAGAAACGTGCAGCGGACGTATTTGGCACCTTCATCTAATGATGAGACGATGTTGTTGTGTAAGACAGCTGCAGCGTCTAAAGTACTCCTACCCTGTCTATAGGCAAATTGTTTGGGGTCTTCGAAGTTTTTAAGGGAGGGTTCAAGGTCAAGAAGTACTAGTTTTTCCATAAGCTTTAGAAACGGGGAAGTGATGGCAATGGGTCTGAACTTTACGTTCTTGCTATATCCAGGTTTAGGGACAGGGACAATTTTAATGTCTTTCCATGCATCAGGTACGACATTTCTGGAGAAAGAGGCATTTAGGACGTTAGTTAGTGGAGAACATAAAGCATCTGCACTTTGTTTCAGAACATATGCAGGTATACCATCAGGGCAAAGGCTACGTGAGGGCTTGAGCGTTTTAAGACATTTTGGAACATCGAGAGCATTAAAGTCATGAAAGTTTTCAGCTACATGATTGGTAAAATTAGAAGCAGTTATAGTAGAAGGACAGCGTATAAAACACTGATTAAGAGCATTAACATCATAAGAGGGAAAAGCATTCCATCGCTTACTATTGCCAGTAATTTCACTAAAAAGTTTCCACATGCTGATAGGAGATTTGCATGATAAAAGTGTATCGTTGTAGATAGCATTAAGATTTTTGATTTCAGATTTGATCTGAGCATTAATCTTTTTGAGTCCTAACCCATGTTTGTAGGCATACGATAATCAGCCAATACAGAGGTAAGTACAACGTTTACAAGGCATAGTAAGCTGTTTTAGAAAAGTAAAGGTGCTAAGGTGAATCATTAAAGTGTAATGAAATAGGTAAGTGCAATGTATCATTAATAGATGCATTCATAAAGGAAATACAATGGGAGACTATAATCCCTAGGCTGACAAAGTTCATTTGCAATGTATAATGCTCCTTTAAAGGTCTTACTATCATGATGTCGACTTTTGGTTTTAATACAATTATCCACAAGCCGGTTGTTTTTATTTGATACCTTTTTGTGCATTTGGTGCACAGTCGTACCCTATAGAGAATCAAATTCATTAAGAGCTATAAAATGTTAGGTTTAATGGAATATACTGAGCAAATGAAAACGTTATCAAAGAAAACAAGCTTCTAAACACAAAACATTATTTCTGAAAAGCTGCAAATTAGGCTTTTATAGTATCACACTGCACAAGCACTCAGGCTAAATTTGAATAAATACTAAAAGCTTGCACTAAAATCTCCTATGCGCACTGGTTGCGTTATCAAAAACTTTTCATAGTTCAGTGTTTCCAACACTAAGATGTTAGCTTCAAAAGTGACAAGAAAGTTGTCCACATAGAATATCTCTTGCCGGAAAGACAGTCTAATCAGCATTCTTGTCACAGGATAAATAAACTTTTCATCATTTGAAGATTGATTTAGAATCTTAGCAGTACTTCTAGGGAGAAGAGGGTGTTTGTCACAGAAAACATTTAGCGCTACCTTTCCATTTTTACTGCGAGATATGACCTGCATGACTCTTCCTTATTCAACTTGTATGTGAATCATTTTTAAAACGCTACCAGGTGCCTCTACATTTGTCGATGTAGTTATTCCGATGGTTCCCGCCTCACTATTATTAACCATTGTGTAGTGGTACATAGTTCCCCAAAATTATTGACCACAGCAATCATCACTGAACATCGGATGCTGACCGTCACTGTTTAAGTCGACTTGTTTAGCTGAAGGCTTCCGGTCAAGCAACCATGCCATTTGGTACTCCGTCGTGTCACGTGCGTGCACGATCACTAGCCAGCTTAGCCATCAACTCACAGTCCGTTTTCCTTCCGAAATATATCTCGTAGTTTGGACAATCAATTCACTTGTTTTGCTTTGCCTTTGGTCCACGAGAAACGAATACTATAGAAGTTGTTGGTATAACATCTTGCGTTAGTTTTAGTGTTATTATATTATTGTTCCCTTGAGTTCATAGTGGAACATAGGGCTTCAACTACACGTATCCACTTGCTTCTGTCTTCTGCTGTACTTTTCACTTGCATCCATGTCAGTCCATACTGTTTCAACTCCCCTTCACACGATCTCCTCCATGTCACCCTTGGACGTCCCACTCGCCGCTTCCCTTTCGGCTTCCACTCGAGCACTGGCCTGACGCGAAATGTCACCCAGCGGTCTCTTCTGCGGGTGTCCAATCCATCTTCACTTTCTCCTCCATATTTGTTGAGCGATTGGTTCTTGTTTTATTTCTTCCCATAGTTTCTTGTTGGTGATTGGTTCGGGCCATTTGATCTTCAGTATAGAAAGGAGACAGATGTGGATAAAGATCTGCAACAGGCTGTTGGAAATATTCTTTGTGACCAGCCAAGTTTCTGATCCATCCGTATAGCAGAACTGACTTGACGTTTGTACTGAAAATTCGAATTTTGTTGTTGATTCAGGCTGAGTGATGAAGATTTCCAGATTGATTTGCCTTTCCTGAATCCAGCTTGTTCTGTTCGGAGTTCTGTATCCAGTGCGTCCTTTATTCTCTCCAGGATAATGCGATTCAGGACTTTACTTGGCGTCGACAGCAGCATGATTCCTCGCCAGTTCTTGCAGAGTCCCAGGTCGCCCTTCTTTGGTAGTTTCACCAGGTAACCTTTCCTCCAGTCAGTAGGCACCTTTCCCTCCTTCCAGTCTTTTCGTAACAATGGAGTCAGCATATCTGCTGTCATTTCTGGGTCCGCTTTCAGTGCTTCGGGGGGTATTCCATCTGGTCCAGCTGCCTTTCCAGCTTTCAGAAGCTTGATTGCATTCAAGACTTCAGCTTTCATTGGAGGATTGGTGTCAACTTGCAGTTGTGTACATGCTGTTGTTGGTATTTCTGGACGGGTTTTAGGTGGTGGTCGATTCAAGAGTCCTTTGAAGTGGTACGCCCATTGTTTAATCTGTCTTTCTTCTCTGGTAATTGGGTTCCCTTGGCTGTCTTTTATAGGTTTCACTTGTGTTGATCTCTTCCCGGATAGAGACTTAGTTATCTGATATAGTGTCCCCAGGTCCCTTTTGCCTGCTGCCTTCTCAGCTTCAGTAGCCAGGTTGTCGTAGAATTGTCTTTTGTCCTTCCTGGCACTCTTCTTCACTTCTTTGTCCAGTGCTGTGTAAGTTGAGTTCAGCGTCTCTTTCTCTTGTCCATCTTTGCATTGAATCATTTTCTCTTTCACCTTTC